TTTGACGCCTTGTAATCTCTTGTAATCTCTCGTTAATATAGGTCCACACAAATAAAGAATGTTTGACTTCGACTTTAATAATTATGCTCTTACATAATTATAAATAAACTAGCTTTCCGCCCGCCGCTTCGTCCGCGTGGAATTTTTTGGTTTTTATATAACCTATTACACTCAGAATGATAATAATGTGGCTTTCTATTGGTGAAAGATTTTTTAAAATCAGTTCAGTAGATCCCGAGATTTTCAAAATTCAAATTCAAAATTCAAATTCAAAATTTATTTATTGGAAACAAGAAAATTTGTACATGAAAAAGCGTGTACGATAATAGCCGCAATATTACTAGATACTAGATTACCCCTTACAATTTAACAAATATACAAACACACAAACTTTATTATTATTATTATTATTGAAACCCTATTTTGTTTTATTCTTTTTTTTATTTTAAATATTTCACGATCCAAACTAATATTTACTGTAAGTAAATGCTAAATAGTAAATATTAGTTTGGATTGTGAAATATCCTACTAATATTATAAAGGCGAAAGTTTGGATGTCTGGATGTCATGATGTCTGGATGTTTGTTACTCTTTCACGCAAAAACTACTGAACGGATTTTGTTGAAACTTTACAGTATTATTGTTTATAACCCAGATTAACATTATGACGATATGTGGCAAATAAATTTCAATAAATAAATAAGACGTGTCTAAAAGCGCCATCTATCGTCATTGGTTAAAATCTACAGCACTGGACAAACTACGGTATGACGTTCGTAAATATTCATTCGGGGGAAACCGTGAAACGCCATCTATCAACATGGGTAAAATGAGGTAAAACATCATATCTAACGGGGGTAAAACGAGGTCCACGCGAACGAAGTCGCGGGCGGCCGCTAGTTTATAATAGGTAGCTTTCCCTCCGCAACCTTATTGGTATTCCATGTATGTGTCTTTTAACTGAGTTCTGTTAAACATTTCATGTAAAATTTGTCCAATTATAACTCTATTTACATCTGCATCTGTAAGCAAGGATTCATGTTCTCCAGCCCAGATGCCGAGTAAACAGAATCGTCTTTCAGTGACGTGCAGCTGCCCCTATATTTGACCCACTGACCTAATTTTTTATTATTTATTTGTGTCAGTGTGCTCTTCTAAAGAGTGAAGACGATTGTATGTAGGTACTATTAAAATGTAATTTTAACTCATTGGTTTTGTCTCATATTTGAGGAATGTATCATGAGTAGAGTCTTAGTTTAAAAGGATGCCAACGATTTAAATTTCAATAGGTAGACAAAATTCAGAATTCTTAATTATCAAAAATTTTAGCTTTCTCCAGTAACACTGGTATTATTATACTGTGACTCATCAAAGTCATCATTGTCAAAAATATTGACAAATCGAGAACTGTCACGGCCAAAAAACTGGCACGCGTCCGTCCTCCGTAAGCGCCACCGCGCGACTGATTGAGATTGTCCAAGCCGTCATGGGCGATTTTTTCCACATTTTTTAACATAGTAACTAAATAAGACGCAATATAAAAATTTCATCCGTTAAAAGCCCTCAAGTTATTTCTGAACTTTAGTTTAGTAAAAGATTCAGAATCTCAAATCGCTTATTTTAAAAATAAAACCATTATTAGAAAACGAATAGAGGTAACTTTGGGAATTTATTCTATCGAGTCAACTTCATCAAATCGTGTTTCCATCCGTTAATAGCCCTAGAAAATATCCTCAACTATGCCCAAAAAAAAATTTAGCCTTTTATTTTACTGTTTAGTACCTCAAAAATGAAAAATGAAAACCTCATTTTCGCCATTTTCTCTGTTACCCGGCCTTAACCGATAAGGTAGAGTTAGAAACTATTATAAAGTTATCTATGACTTTGATTTGACTGATGTTGACATTATCAATAAACCCACACTCAGTTTGTTGATAAAATTCCAACTCGCAAATACTCAAGAAAGTTAACATAGGTAACAACTATGTTTTGTTACATTAGATGATATTTTACATAATAATATGGACGATAGATCTAGCAGCCGTACACAGCGCTGTATTGAAGGCATCTAGGAATGATTTAAGTTACAACATATGGAAAGATAAGGTGACCGAAACGAAGAAAGGTATTCTTTGTTCTAGATTTGCGTTTTAACCGCGTTTCACGGTTGTTTTGGCATACAAGTTTTCATGCTAGCTACATTTCACGCTTCAAGAAACCAAAGATTTCTATGACATGAGAAATTTCTCACTATGTAAACGGCCAGTAACGGCAAAATTCAAATAGACGAAATACGAATGAGCGTACAAGGTTATTTGTTACACGTACACCGTATTTTAGGTAAAACTCGTTTAGGCGCGATTGGTCCAATTCGCGAGCCATTCGTGTATTGGTGGCATTACTCATCAGCATAGTACACTGTTCCAATTTACTTTAGTTTATACAAATAACTCCATATTATATTCTTTTGTTTTAGCTAGCCAGTGACTCAACTCACAAAAGAACATTAAATGGTAATACAGATAATGATTACGACTACGAACACCTCTTGGATGAATATTACGAAGAATCTTTGAATGAATCTAAAGAAAACAAAAGCTATCGTATATTTGGCAAAGGTGTGTTTTACTTAAACGTTTTTACTACTCCAGTATTTTTATGTACTTCGAGATGCTGCTATTACATTGCTAATGAAGCAAAATGACATAAGTACATTTTGGTGCAAGCAAATTATCACCTATTGCCTTGGTGATAGGTCTCATTGATACACTGCAATATTTTTACAGATGCTGAATCTAGCTTTGCAAATAACATGCGAAAATTTATGAATATCAAAAATAAAAATTGCTCACAGGAAGATATTGGTATAAATGCGATCAAATGTCTGTTCGTAGATTACTACAACCGAAAACAACCGCTAAATGTATTTGTGGGCCGACTGTGGACGATAATCAGAGTTTGGTTCATATTATACATTGTATTAGCTATTCCTTTATGGTGCATGAAAGGTAATTTTATAATTTTTAACATCTATGTCATTTTACTTTTTGAGCCTGTATAAAATTGCACCCGACAACAACAAACATGCACGAATTTGTACTTCTAACTTTTTTTTTGGGTTCGTATTTCTTCGGAATTGAAATTTTTATATTTTATACCAATCTTATTTTGCATTTTATTTACAATTAAATGATTTCAGACTGAGTTGCTTTGTCTAAATACTCGCGACAATTTGGCTATCGGCCACATATTTTAAACATCGTCCCACATACCTAACGGTTCGATTTCAGATTGAATTTCTGAGCCGATATCACATCGGAATGTTAAATAATCATTAATTTTAAAGCTCTCAAATTTCAGGTTTATGTTGCTGCTGTTTTTTCTGTAGAATTTTCAAACCACACCAAACTATTGCGGAAGCCAAAAGTTACTTTATAACGAACCCGCCGGGATTACTAAAAACTACAAAAGGACATGAAGTACTTTACGAACCCACGAAAAATGAGAGAGATGCCTATGAAGAGTTTGAGCATCTAATAAGAACCATATGACGATAACAATAAAAATATTTTTTCAAAAACTTAGACGTTTTTTTGTTTCAGTGAAGATGTCTAACAGATAATAATTGTAACTTTGTTATTATGTATCTCAAAAATATATCATTGTCGGAATTCTACGTTTTTCAGTTATTTTTAGATCTAGATATCTATCTATACATGTTAAAAATATGTCGATCTAGACATATTTTTAAACGAGATAACAAGTAGACAAGGTTATCATCAAGACAAAACAACTGTATTTAAGATAAAAGGTGATTTGAATACATACCTACTTATTGATTATAATAAAACAATATAGGTGTATTGTTAATGTTATATTGCTATCTGTTGGTTTCTTTATAAAGCAATCGTCAAAATCTTTATTCAAGTGAAATGTGGCATATAGCAAGTGAATATTGGCAAGTGAAAACAGGGAACTAAGAAAAAATAAATATTTAAAAAATGCAAGCAATCAGCAAGATGGAATATTGCAATGAATAATAAATATGGACTGTTAATAAATAACATCCTTACCTCTAAAATCTGATTTGCCTTTGAAAAGTCGTTGTTGTAGAGAGCTAAAGCCACCAAACAATTGGGTTTCGCCAGCATTATGGAGATGAAGTCAATACTGCTGCTTTTTGTAGAAAGTACTGCTGAAAAGTAATTCAAAATTAAAATGTTGTCACTAAACTTTTATTCAATAGAGGATTGAACAAAGTTACCATCATCATTAGCTGATATTGTGGATGCTAGCATTACATGCTCAGAATCATGTTTGGAGATTGTATGCCTCTTTCTTGGCCTTGGTTTTTTTCTCAAGGTCTTAAATTCAAACTCACGGTCGTCGTCTTCACTGCTTTCGTCAACCTCTACATAGTCCAAACAAAGCTTCAACTGCAGTGGGTTTGTGTCGGGAGATAATGTTGATACCAGCTGCAGTTTCCATATTGAGTGGTTGACAACCCTCACAAGGTTCCTGAATCTTGTGGTGACAGAATTATCCAGCTCATCAATTTTGTTATCAGCTTCTAGCTTCTCCAAACATAACTTCAATGTATTTAGGACAATTTGTGTAGTCAAAGCATTACACATGAAGCCAGCATTGTTCGTGTTTGGACTCTTGAGGCTCTTGCTTTGCTTCTTAGAATAAAAGTAAGAACACTCAGAGTGTGTACCGCACGGGTATTCCTGGGTGTGTTCATAACATGAAAAATATTCATATCTCAAGAATAGACATGAAAATATATTTTCTATCACTTCAATGCAATATTGTAAAGGTTGTATGGACAAGACCAAACGTTTGATTTCTTCCAAACTGGATGTTGTTTCTTGAGGGTCTTCTGCCCCCTCAGAAGAATTTAGAACGACATCTATTATCTTGGTTATTGCACAGTAGCTGTTATAAGTGAGGACATCCCAATTTACATTTTCATTCTGAATCCCTATATTAGATTTGCCACTCAAAGTGTTGAGCTCAGACATGAAGTCAATGTTGGTATTTAGAAGCCTTGACACCTTGTATCTGTCGACTTTAGAGAGCCTGCACACTTGGGATATCACAGTCAATGTGCTCTGCTGCAAAACTTGACTAAATATAGATGTAGTCATTATTTTACAATTATTTTCCAAGCAAAACTTTATCACAGTTAGTTCTCTCTTTATTTCAGTTAAATAAAACTGCAACTGCTCATCTGCTGTGGTGTATGTGTCCAGTATAGAAAATATATTTGTCAACTGATGGACAAGTGATGATAAATCATATGTTTCGGCGCTATTGGTGAGATCAATGAGTACCATGATGAGTATTTGTTTGGTGAAATTGTTAATTTTGAAAGTAACATTTTCCATGTCATGGAGTTGATGCTTGTACACTTCAGCAGCTTTCAGTAACCAATGTGTCTTGTCCTGATAACACAGCTCAAGCATGTACTCTGGTGTTAACTTGAACTCTCTTTGTGGTTCATTCTTTTGCATAACATCAGAAGAAATCCATAGTAATTCAGGCCTATCATGTGGTATGAGGCTTAACAGTATTTGCTTTCTATACTGTCTGAAAGAATCTTCACACAAAGGTGTTAGTATGTGCTGTATAAATTGGTTCAAATACATTTGTGTCCATCTGACTAGAGATATCAAACAAATTAACTTCTCAGAGCAGTTGTTCTCTGCAAGTTCATTTTTTAATACTTCTAAGTAAATATCCTGAATTTTTTCTGTGTTCCCATCATTTTTGGAAAATTCTTGTATGTAGTTCAAAACTGAAGATGTTGTCACAGGGTTGCTTTTTAGGCTGAGTTTAAGAAAGTCTAATGTTTGGTTGGATAGATCTGCTTGTTTTTTAGATTGTTCTGTATCTTCATAGTATTTTAAGATCTCCTGAAATATAAAATAAATATACTATTAAAATATGATTGTAGTTTCAAACATTTTCCAACTTAAATAGCAATGTTTAAAAATTACCATCAATTAAGCACAATGACACAGAGTACAATTACGAGTACATACACCCACACAAAATTTAATAGCAGTAGAATCACTTACCTCGTATATATCCTCAGAGGGGTCATCAAGGAGACGCAACATATACTGCAACTCTTCCTCCTTCATGTTGTATTTGGCACCTACAACACCATATAGTAATATGAACCTTATGATGAAAACTTATTTATATTATGCTATAAATAACAGACTTAATTCTTTTACAAAAATGAAAATAGGTAGTTTATAAACTTTTAACAAAAGACCCATTGCAAGGTTTTCTTTATTCAGTGCCTTAGATATTTAATAAGTACCTATGCAGTTTTTCCTGGTAGTTTCCTACTATCACTGATTAATCAGTACAACACAAACATTGTAACTGCAAACAGAATATTATGTCAACTGTTATCTCCCAATGTGTTACTGACCTAGCTGGGTCAGAAGTCAATGATATTGTTTATTTTCAATGCACAGTTACTAACAGGAACATAGACTTAGCTAAATGATTTCTAATTTGTTTTGAACTCAAACATGGTAATTATTAATAACATTTATGGTTCTTTTAATTTAGGTATTATTCATTTGGCTATGACTTTGAACAGAAAACTACTACAGTTTTTTATAAGAACACACGTTAAAAATATTTAAGCTGTACAAAATATTCTAGCGACCTCAATACCCACATGATAATGTCATCAATAACATTGGCAGACAGTAAGACAATAATTATTATTTATTTTGTTTACATATTACCTTCAAAGTTACATTAAACAAGTCTGTATGGCAAACTAATCGTGATAAAGAACGGATTATCTGTAGATCAACCTAAAACTATTGTTAACATCTATCTAATTACCTAGGACATACAATTTTAGAACCTAACGATATTACAAAAGAGTAGAAGACAAAAACATACCTACACTACAGTGCCAGGTAAAGCAACACTGAAGTCCAACCAACTCCTAGCTGGATTCCGTCCAGTTTAAAGATTTGTCAATTGTCATCACGAATTTAACATATGTGAGTAGAATAGGTACGCTTCAAGATGCAATGTTTTTATTCTTTGTATCAATAAATAAAACTGCGAGCGAGTGACCAAAATCACCACAGCTGAGATTGTGTCAAATTAGCTGTCTGTCACATGTCAGATATGTTATGTCACTGTCAGTCAAATGTTTTCGTACCGTATTGCGTAAATGGGAATTGGGTATTCATACAAAAGCTGTATATTATTACAAGCTTTATATTGACTTCACTTGTTAGTATGTGTGGGACAAATCTTGCAACTGAATTTAAGACCAGTTCTCCTCAACCGATTGAGCTGAAATTTGGTATACTTATGTAAGTACGATGACAATGCAATATTATGGTACCATTGAGCTGGTCTGATGATGGAGTCGGGAGGTGGCCATAGGAACTCCTAAACAAAACGGTGGAAACTCGTCGAGTTTGGGTTCGTTGGATTTGTCTTTTCAAGCACTTTACTGTTAGATAATGTCCAGGGTCCTGAGATTAAGATATAACTAAAAAGTGTAAAATAAAATTATAATAAAAATAAACTTTTTTAAAAACAAGCTTTTATTCTGAACTTCGAAAGCTTGTAGCGAACAGAGAAAAAGAGGAATAAATTCCATGCGCGATACAAGCATTCGAAATTCAGAATAAAAGCTTGTTTTTAAAAAAGTTTATTTTTTAATAATATCTTTGCTTTTTTCAAGCAGTAAAAGTAATTAAAAAAATACTCTAACTGTCAAAAACTATTTTTTAGGTTAGAAAAATGTTATGAGTTCTTGAACTCGAAATATTTGTTTATCAATTTAAAATTTTTACTAATACCTATAAAATTTCTTCAAATCCAATTGTTTCCTAAAATTTCGTTATGAGGCTTATTTCCAGAAGCGGTGTTTTGTATCACGTCTCCAAAGTATTCACTAATCCGGTTAGTAGGAGTCGTGTACAAAATGTTATTCGGTTTCGCCAGTACATGACTGTTATTTCTAATAAGCGACTCCTGGCCAAATATCCTACGAGTCTAGTTTCCTTCACTTGCTTGGAATATTCAACTGACAGTAAGAAACAATTCCTAAATTTTGAAAAGAAATCTGAAGCATTGAAAGATGTTCTTGAGCACAAGAAAGAACAATTAAAAGATACAGAGCAAAGAATAAGGCAAAAAGGTGAAGAGATAGTAAGAGACATAAAGCACCAGAAAGAAGTCACTGGTCAAAAATTAAGAGTGAAGAAGGAACATTTAATTAAAGATATTTTAGAAACAAAAGCTAAGGTCAAAGAAAGATTGGAAGAAGTTGTTGAGGTAGGTTATTAAAAAGAAAACAAATTATATTCATATAAAATACACAAGAGAACATTATACTGCATAGTTTAGTTCATTTATTAATATTTACTTTTTTTCTTCTTTCCAGAGGGAAAATGTGTTTACTGTTCCAAATGTTTTATGTGTTGCAAGAATAGCCATGTCTCCTTATTTAGGATATGTAATTTTACAAGACAACTATACATTGGCTATGGGTTTATTAGTATTTGCTGGAGTAACAGACTTGGTAAGTGACATTCTTATTTTTGAGGCATTATTTTTCTTAGTTATTAAGTATTAAAATATAACATTGATTTTTTACCTTTTTACAGCTGGATGGATGGATAGCAAGGACATGGAAGAGTCAATCATCAAAAATGGGGTCATTTCTCGACCCCATGGCTGATAAAGTGCTCATAGCCACACTCTTTGTCTCGCTTACCTGGCAGAACCTGATACCACTGAGCCTGACTCTCCTCATCGTGGGTAGAGATGCTGCACTGGTTGCCGCTGGTTTCGTCATCAGATACATGAGTTTACCCCCACCAGTAAGTTGTTATTTAACCGTTTAGATCTTGTTGATGTAATTTTCTGTTTGGCCTAAAAGTTAACTGGTAGAGAATGCCACAAGTTCACCTTTTGTACCTCACTTTATATGTACAATAGAGATTTTGAATAAATGTAATTGATTATTGTTTGGCTATATTCTAATAAGGATCACCTTTTATAAATAACAGAACATGAAATTTTTCACTTTTTTTACAGGAAAACAAATCCCACTCATTATTGGTAAACTACTTACCATAATTTCTATGATAAAAGTAAAGAAATGTGTGTAATATTTTCAGAGAACACTCAGCAGATATTTTGATGTAACACATGCAACAGCGCAACTAGCACCTACAACCATAAGCAAATTCAACACAGCCATACAACTGTTACTGGTAATTATTCTTCTACTGTGAAAATTAATTAGTAGTGTATTCTATAAATCTGTAACTAATTTGTAAGTCACTATCTATTACTAGTTTGGAAGATGGTGCATAATTAGACTATGATGTAATGTAATGCAAATTGAGATAAAATGGTTAACAATTTTTAATGACTAGCTTTTAATTACATAATAATAGCTTCACCTATGAATTTCAGTCAATTTGAATCTCTTCAACCACTGGGATATTCAACATATGGAAAAAAGGGATAATTTTTTTTGGTCCCAGGGAACAACATAGGATAGTTTTTTTTATCTTGGTTTAAGACATTCTCTCGAATGGGTCACATAGTTACTTTTGCATTTCTAATATTAGTACCTATGGATTTCTTGTTTCAGGTTGGCACAACCTTAGCATCTCCTGTGTTTGGATACGTAGACCACCCCACCCTACACGCCCTGTGTGGCATCACAGCTGTCTCTACAGTCGTATCTGCAATTAGCTATTTAGTCAGTAAGGATACCTACAAGTTTTTGAAGAAAAAATTGTAAACCATGTGATTTTTTGATTTTCTTCTCAATTTTATTTAGACGCACACAATAGTCTTCCAAAAAAGAAACTGTATTGTATAGCCATGGGTTTAGTGAAAACAATAAAATCTGTACAAATGTAAATAATAATTAAATGTTTATTTATTTGAATTGACATTTGAAAACCCCACTCAATCCCTATCTTTAGTCCATAAACACACACTATTTTTATATAAATAAATTATTTATTGATTACTCAATTAGTACAATCATGTTTATTTATGTTGTTCACCAAACAAACAATATTTTCATACCTAACTAGTGACCTAGTAAATATGAGGAAACTCATTGGCCTTGTGTTATTTAATTGGGTATTTTATCGGTACATGCATGCATAATATAATAAATTAATATAAAACATACAAATGGAATCAATTTATTATTCATTCTATTCACATGAATAAATTGTAGGTAATTCATCACATGAAAAGGTACACAAATTTAAAAAAAAGTAATATAATTACAAATTATACTTACACTAACAAAAATATACTGATATATTCATAAAATTGTTATTCTGATAAGCCATTATTTTCAAATCTTACATGAAGAAGCAAAAAGAATACTTTTTAGTCAAATGAGGTACATTTCCAATTAAAGCAATTTGATACTTTTCACGTTATTCCACAAGGGACAAAACATTTTTGTTTCACATAAAAACATATAAAAATATTATTGTGGAATGTTGAATACTTAGATTCAATTTTAGTAAGTTATTCATCCACAGGGCGTAAAGTTAAGATTTAAAAAAATATGATCAAAAACTGAATTAACATTTGTAACATAATTTAGAATCTAATTAAGTGTTAATTTCGATTAATATTTCCTGTACCTAGAAGTAATTTCTACACTTTTAATCTCAAATTATGGACTGTATGGATGGTGAAAGTTAGATTCCAAAAGGCACATGTATAAATCTCAGGTTTAGGTAGGTATCTAAGTTAGTTGTTAATAAATTAATAAACTAATGACCAATTAAAATTATTTTTCATAAATATTAGGTACCAGATACATTTTTGGTATACTGTCTCATCTCAATAAATCTAAAAACAGCATAAAAAGCAATTTAATAAATTGAAATGGTAAGAGGGTGGCAAGCAACTTGGGGTGTTCAGATGCAGTGCTCTAGAATAGTCATTCTATCACTATTCCTAGTAATGGCTGAATAGCTGGTTCCTTTTTGTTAATTATAAAGATAATATCTGTATCATTAATTGTGTTAGTTAGAATAACATAAAATAATATGATTTATTTAAGACTAGATGAACTAGGGTTGTTAATCAGAAATGCAGCTATGTGTTGCGATAACTAAATATATGTCGATGTCTCAATAATCTAACTCTAAACATGACAATAACATATCATAGAATGATTATAACTATATTAAATTTTAAGCACATCATAATAATCATACCTACTATTAATTTATACAAAGAAAGAGATTTAAAAATGAATTATGGCAGCTAGGATTTATTAGGAAACATGAATATCCCATACAAAAATAATTATGCTAATCCCTAAGACATTTTGAATCTCAACAAATACTGCCCTTGGGACATGTAAGCTTTCTACATCAATCTTTTGAAATATAAATTAGAGTACAATCTCAAATGCATATTTTGTAACTGGTTTTCAAGGTACAAAACAAGAGAAACCTGAACTTTTAGCACAAATTACATAACATAATTATAACAGAAACAATTTAGGCACCAGTTACGCAGAATAATAAGCAAACATAATGTAAATCTCATTGGCTACAAAATAAACAACAGCAAAATGTCACAATGTGTTAAAAACTTAAATTCTAAATTATAAAATTGTACAAAAATAAAAAAGTGACACATTGATTGCACAAAATATTTATAGAACTATGTTACAATGTAAGAGGATGGTTTTCTGAAATTAAAAATGGTAACAGCATCAGCATCTTTTTAAACACTTATGTATTCAATGTTTTAGAATATTCATTACAAAGTAATGTTACACATTTTTTATATAACTAACTGCATACAAATATAAAATGCATGTTATGAAAATGAAAATATGTGGATAATTAGGAATATTTAACCAACCTTGTTGATTAATTCATCACAAATAGCTGTGAGCTCTTCATTGTCTTTGATTTTCTGTGCCAAAGACTCCTGTAATGATGATGCATGTACCTCACTTTTCTTGAGCATAGCATTTAACTTCAGAATTTCAGCTTGATGGACTTTCTTCACCGAGTCAAGCTCAGCATTAGCCTTGTTCAGTTGCTGCATGGCATGCTGTCGAAGTGTTTCATATCTGGCTTCCAATTTTTGTATAGCATCATTATTCTCCTCCACTGTTCGTTTTAATGTTTCTTCATTACTTTTGTAACCTTGTATAATTACTTTGCACCTTTCATATTTTGTATGGACATCATTGAAGGCGTGTTCCATCGAAGCCAGATGTGCAGCAGCTTCATCACGTTCTCTTATCAGCGTACCTCTCTCTTCTGTCCATCTTTTTGCTTCAGTTTCACGTTCACCGATAAGTGATGAAATGGTACGTTCATATTCTTCCATGACAACACTCATTTGTTTGTTATTTCTTACTTTTTCAGCGACCCGCTGTGAAAGTGCTTTTTCTTTATCAGCATATTCCTCGTTTTGTTCAGTCAGTTTCTTTATTTTGGTTTCACATTCTTCAAGCCGGTCTCTCAGTTCACGGTTCAGATCTCTCAAATTTTGAGCTTCTTCTTCCTGAGCAGTTAGCAGTTCTTTGACAGCTCGTAGCTGTTCTACTGTGTGTGGGTCCATGTCTGAGGAACGAGATATGACAGGCGGTGGGGGCGGTATGTTAGCACCGAGGCTGAGGAGGCGGTCGATAGTTGCAATAGCAGGAGAAACTGTACTCGCCTTAACGGGAGTTGTCTTAGCCGCAGAAGGTTTCACAGCTGGTGTAACTACTTGAGTGGGTTTCTCGGTTGGGCCACTGATACCAGGTTGCACAGACAATTGTTGCATTGAGTTCACTATATTCTGCTCCGTACCTGACATGGTACTGTTCAGTTTATACCGTTCAAAAAACCTCTATACTTTTACATCCAATAGTGAACACATGATATTGCCTGAAAAAAAACAGATTATGTTGTTATTATTGTATTTCTACATTGTATGTACTTACTTATGAGTAACTGGTAACTAATTCATTCAGGGTCTTTGTCAGTTGACACACAAATATTTATAGATATCAAATCTAAATAACACGCACTGTACGTAATAATATGAACTGCACGCAGCTAAGGAACGTAATAAATGAAATTTTAACGTCCCACGCATGGTGCAACGAATTCGAACAAAAAGGAATGTTGCGTACAAATTAGGCAATGTAATGTACCGCAATGTCCTCGAACCACTTGGACTGCACCGAGTGTAAGTAATAGCATTAACACTTGAAATTACTTGCAAAAACCAACAGCTGCATATTAAATCTGCCTTTAGCAATTAAATAAACATCTAATTAATTAAATGTACGACGATGATGACATCAGTTTAGCCTTTTTCGGTTTTGACATTTAATTTGTGATTTGTGACATTAACATTTTTTTTGTGGTCACCACAGACTAAAGTCGATTTCGTTCGGAAATAAAAAGGTAAGCGAACTAACAAAGTAGTAAAATGGTTCTGCAGCAACCGTCACCGTGCTGTTTTTTTGTTTGGTTCAAGTTTTTGGGCCATTTATTTATGGGAGTTTTGGCCGCCGGCCGTCCATACCCACTTACTTCCTAGGCTAGCATTTGGGCATACCGGATGATACCGGGAGTGAGACCCCCAGTAACCTCCTCTATCCCACTTATTTAGTAAGTTTATTGTTAACTGGGTAGGTTTATCCATTTCTAGCTATGGAGCGCACAGAATTTCTACGATTTAAATCATTTTGACATTTAAGGGGTGAGGACTGTGCCCTGTACTGTAGTGCCTACTTTTGTGTTTGCACCCTATGTTGCACCCCGATTGGTTGGTTAAGTTGATCATTGACAAATCTCATTCAATCACACGGCAATCATAAAACAAAACACATGCTTAATTATAAAATGTATTTTATTTTGTAATAAGCTATTTATATCAACTACATAAAACTATGCAAATCTAAACTCCAACAATGTATTTATCAGTTTTATACATTTCATAGGCGAAATCTTCGTCATGTGTAGGGTCAAATTCGAGTCCTGGAAAAAGAAAAAAATTGTTAATAATAATTAGGTTTTGTGTGAAGTAAATACTCAAGAGGACCTAAAGCATTAGGTACAACCCGGTCGAGTTAACCGCACACCACGCTGGAATGCGACTCTCGCTCACAATCAACCGCACATCTCCCCGCGTTCGCCCCATGTTCGTACTAGAGCCAGGCCTGGCTCACTCCGCGCGGTACATCCGATAATTACCTACAGCGAAGCGCCCCGCCGCGCCGGCGGGTATTATATCAGTCGAGTGTCACGCGCGCACCCGTCAGGACGCTGGCGTGCGTTGTAGTACCTAATTCTATGATCGAAGTATTATTACAAAATGGACATAAAGAGAAAGAAATATTATTGTGCGGTGTTCGGGTGTTTCAATTCAAAAAGAAATCTACCGGATTTATCTCCTTTTTCGCTTCCCAAAGATGCTGAAAGGTATGTTGGCCATGTAGGTAATCAATAATTCTTAGGAATGTAGGAACCTAACCTACCATGACTACTGCTCAGAATGCGTTAGTTCGTTTCAGCAAATTAATGACGTCCACTGCTGGACAAAGGCCTCTCCCAAGGTTTTCCATAATTAATGCGTACTTACCTACATACGTACCTCATTACAAATAAGTATATCAATTATTTTTTTACTAGACACTACTAGACAGCAACCCTAACAGCGTAAGAAGAGTTCAGAGGCACGCGATAGAAAGAGACAAAACTTGTAGGTGAATAAAATTGTAGGTATAGGTCTACCAGAATCTCATGGCAAACAAAAATATTGGAAAAGTGTGTTTTTCATATGGCAATTGTCTATGGTTTAATTGTCACCTGTCAAAGAAAATTATGAAAGCTGTCAGCCGCTGCAAAAATTTTGTAATCTCTTCATGCCTATTTGTTATTAAACAGTACTGTACCGTTATTCGAAGCCTTTATAATGAGAGTAGTGTCTGTCTTTTCCTGTTTGAGTACTAGTTTTGACGTATAATCTGCCCACGTGACTTCCGCTCCGGTCCCCCACCGCCTAAGCACGCCTCAATTAACGACACTAGCGCCACCAACGGTAGCTCGAAACTAGGTTTCGATATTCTCGCCATTGGTGTTTTAGTTCCCGTTCGAGACGGTCGTAGAATTAGCTCCGCTAGTTCGCGACCCATCTCACAGGTACTAGTCGTGACGTGATTCAGGTAATATTACCATCATAATGTAAGTACTTCTAAATTATTATGTACTGGCTGAAAACTTATAAAAATTACTGTGATTACTTATTTCGCAGTGTAATTTATTTTTACAACGGTGTTACCGTTCGGGGGTAGATTGCATTCAATCTAACTCTGTGTAATTTTAAATAATTATCTTTCTTCTCTAGTAATACTTGTACCTAACGGTATTCCGTTAGACGTGTTTTAAAAGTAACATTACTTTTTAGCAATGTTTGTTTCTAACGGTTTTTCGTTAGATATGTTTTTAAGCTAACTTTTCTTCTTAGCAATGTTCGTACCTGACGGCGTGTTCCGTTAGATGTGTTTTAAAACTAACATTCCTTTTTAGCAATGTTTGTGCCTAACGGTTTTCGTTAGATGTGTTTTAAAACTAATATTCCTTTTTAGCAATGTTCATTCCTAACGGTATAACACTCCTTTTTAGCTGTGTTTGTTCCTAAGGGTTTTCCGTTAGATGTCTTTATTTTCAAAAGGAAAGAGGAAATATTATGTCCACGTGCAGAAGAGGAGCAAGAGTTGGCGTAGAGGTCAAATCAAAGGATGGTGTGGTGTAATGTGATAGTCGCAAGATGTGATTGCTTGCTACAATAAGCTGTAAGTACCAACTTACCAATACCATTTCAGACATACGAATTCCATCGGACGGATTGTGTTGATTTATAAATCAACAAAATAAATAAACGGTAAACTACCTTTNATGTGATTGCTTGCTACAATAAGCTGTAAGTACCAACTTACCAATACCATTTCAGACATACGAATTCCATCGGACGGATTGTGTTGATTTATAAATCAACTAAATAAATAAACGGTAAACTACCTTTGTCAATATGCATCCGGGGAAAGTATGAAAACTTCCACTAGGTAGGGTAGCGTACCGACGTACCTATTCTACCGCCATTATGGAAGTCTAACGCATGGCTTGTAACCCAAGAGTGCAGTTTGTCCTATTAGGATACGGTACGTAGGTATGATAATACCTTTGTGGTTTTCTTAAACTATGATTTCAGGAAAACGCTATGCTGTTACTGTGTAGATAAACAGTGAGTCTGTGTAATAAACGGTGAAGGATGAACATCGTCTATTCAGCCTGATACGCAGTTTATTTGATGCTAGCGGCGTCTGGAAAATTTTTCGGCAGCAATACGATCGCAACTCTGCTCCGCAGATCGATCTGAGATTTCGCCTTATGCTAAATACCTACAGTGGAAAACTCAAACTGGCTACTCGGCAAGCTAGATGGCAGTGTAACCAAAACGCAGCAGCATAATCCTGTAGCGAGGGTAAGTTCTCTTGGAGCAAACAGGGAAAAACCAGGAGCCAGAACCTTTTCTCCCTCATCCCACCGGGATAGGAGAAAACTCAAACACTCAAGGAGTCTCATATTGAGCCAGGCAACGCCGCTCATTTTTATTTACGTCGAGAGGTCTTAGTAAGGCATTGGTCCAAACCCTCTTGTTATCCCTCATCCCACTGGGATAGGAGATTACCCAAAGAGAATCGGACTCAAATCATTACATTTCGAGCCGAGCAACCTCGCTCATTTTTATTTACGTCGAGAGGTCTTAGGGCATCGCTCTAAACTCTCATGTTATCCCTCATCCCACTGGGATAGGAGATTACCCAAAGAGAACCGGACTCAAATCACTACATTTCGAGCCGAGCAACCTCGCTCATTTTTATTTACGTCGAGAGATCTTAGGGCATCGCTCTAAACTCTCATGTTATCCCTCATCCCTCTGGGATAGGAGATTACCCAAGGAGAATCGGACTCAAATCATTACATTTCGAGCCAAGCAACCTCGCTCGTTTGTATTTGCGGTTCAAAGACATGAGGGCATCGTCCTAAATCCTCATAATTTTTGAAGAGTTATAGAACCCAAACGCCTTATTCCACGGCAAACGAAAATAAGTAAAGTTGCCGAGTAGACATGAGGGCTTCGCCCTAAATCCGCATAACTATAAAAGGGTCTGAAATTCTATTTTGCACGGCAAAATTAAAGTAATGTTGCCGGGAGGACATAAGGGCATCGCCCCAAATCCTCATAATTTTCAAGGGTTATGGAACCCTAATTAAAATGCTTTATTTCATGACAAAAGTAAGCTATTTAAGACCTGCCATGGGTAAAAGGTGGAGACAGAGATCATGAGATTACGCAAAAATGACTCGATTCGTGTCAGTTTGGCTTATTTCATTACTGCCGAGATGATACGAGGGCATCGCCCTAAACCTTCAGAATCTTGAAGGATGTTAATTAATCGGGGCCGCAGCTATGCGCTCTGAATTTTTGGTACCGAACAGTTATATTGACCTGATAGTCTTTTAAATAAGGTTATAGATCCAAATGTACCAACATGATGCAATAAACATATATGACTATGACTATGACTATAGACGCTTGGCGGGTACCACAAAGTACTGAATACTAAAATAAGTATTTTTTTGCCTATACATACCTATAGTACACCGACAGACTCATGCAAATGTTCTGACGGCAATTGATNGCGAAGTAAAACTTCTGTACGTAGTACTTATTATTATTCTGTGTTTATGCCTTTAACAGAGAAGATTAAACTACATTATCTACGCAAAACGACACGTCACTAGCACTGTTTAAAAATGAACGAACAGTACTGCACAGTGCCACTTATCGCTATCGCGAAAGCCCATTGCAATAGGACCTCACTAAGCATATCATTATGTTGTGACTCGTGACGTCACAAACAACCTAAGTTACCTACTCTGGAATATGGAACACACTCGATGCATGCTTAAGTGATACAGCAAATCGAACGCACAGCGTTGAATAGAGCTCTGTGATTGGTTCATGTGTTATCCTCTGCGTCCACGCGCACTGTGAGACCTCACGGTGATGTTTGTGAATACAGGCGTAAGGCCTTTACATGTCTCACTACCGTTTTAAAGTCCACCGTCTCAACAAATACGTTTGACAAGTGTGGAAAACTGCCATAAAAAGATTAATACCACCACTATGATCGCAGTTGGGCGTGGGCGGTCCAGCGCTGGTCAACGGGCAAATGCTGGGGGTGGTGTTGGACGACCGACTGCCACTACTAGTCGAGCCTTTAGGTGCACTCGCGTGGGTACAAGTACTATTAAACGTTGACTCTTTGTGAAGGTA